AAGGCTGATGAGATGACCTCAATCAATAAGGACCCGGAAATCCTCCTCGACCGAGACTTGGATAGGTAACCAACCGTTCTCGCCGCAGTGTTGTTGATGCCAACGGAAGATACTGCGAGATCGACTGATTCTACGGTGACAGAGCTATCTATGCCGACTTAAGATATCACTGGTTGCTTCCACAGTGCTGTTGATGCCAACGGAAGATGTGTCAGCGAAAAAGAAGGAAAAAAATCTCAAGTTGTTGAGAGTTTGCGCATGGCAGTTTTGTATTGATTTGCAGGGCTTTGAATGATGCACAACCTTTTCTATTTATAGCAACAGCTCCTCCTAAGGTCGAGTTAAAAACCTACTCGGACTAGGTCTTCTTCTCCTGATCAGCACCAACTCGACCAGTCCTATTTTCACTAGGATTGTGAACCTAGTCCTTAACCGAGCCGGATTCGCTTCCGGGTTATTAGTCCTGCCGAGACTCCTCATTGCACTAGGACTTGACTTCTTGCGTTATGACCTAGCCGACCTAGGTTTGGAGGCCCACGTACTGAACGATCCATGGTATTCTTGTCGCAAGGCCTTTCGGGGCGAGAATGATTCTATACTCGGCCTAAACTATTATTTTGGGCCCAAACACGACTTTACTTAGTTATTATCTTGCAATGATACAGCTGACCGTAGCTAAAAAGCCATTTCAACTGTTAAACCGACCAAACGAGCGTATAAGTCAATATTAATTTGATGTTATTGTCCTTTGTTTAGAAAATTGCTTGGCTGTTCCCACAGGCGAGCAATTAAACCAATGAAAGAGACTTTGATATTTTGATGCACTTGAGGGGACAAATGTGCCTCCACTGCAAATAGAGGAATGCTAAAGGGATTTTGTTAAAGTGGACACTTTATGAACTATCAAGACATCCCATAATTTAATGTCAATTTTTATGTCAACATTATAAATATATTATGCAAAAAATATGAGGTGACAGAGAGTTGATGAAGAGTCTCATTTTTTATAGATGTCTTTATGCGAACAAAATTTAAATTCACACAATACTTGACTTTTCCAACATTTGAATGTATTGATTGTTTTGAATTTATCTAATTTTTATAAAGATGATTTTTATAAATGATAAATTGAAATATAGATTGTCCATATTTTTTTTTTTTAGTAAATGGACACCATATTTTCATTAGAAGCCATTAATAGGCTAGATAATACAAGGAAATGAAGCTTGTTCCTCAATAAGATCACAAACAATAGTAGGAGCTTCATCTAACCAAATACAATCACACCGGAGTGGAGTGGAGTGGAGTGGAGAGCAAAACGAGCAAGTCTATAAGCAATGTCGTTGGCTTGGAGACGGATGTGGGTCGCAGCAGCTCCAGCGATTAATGACAACAAATGCTTTACATCTTCGATGATAGGTCCCATTAAAAAAGTTATGAAATGAGAACCACAAGAAAATGTTTCAAATTGAGTGTCAAAATAGGTGTCCTTGGATCCTATATATACATTATGTTAGAATTCAGGGACACACGTTTTTGACAAACATTTTGTAATTATTTCAACAATCCAAACAATTTATACTTTAGTACAACATTCATAGACCATCCTTACAAAACATTAAGACAAATTCAAAAACCGTTAAGAAATTCATTTGTAGTGAAAAATATAGACTAATATGGTTCTACAAAGAAACACTAAATTTAATCCAACCGTTATATAGTTTCAGATTTAAGTGATTTTTAGTACACATGATCATTGACGTAAGACACAAAGAAACATTGTATATCTTGACACATTTTTTTCACGATAAATTTTATTTGAACCCATATAGTAGCACTCTTCACCCAACTTTACACCAAATTAAAAAATAACACCAAAATCTAATGTCGAAACAGATTGGAGAACATGGAAAGGCGTTGAGGAATTCAAAAACATTTTTGCTATTATCCAACGGTTTCAACTTTTTATACTTGGATTCGTGTTTGGTTAACAGAGAAGTTTCTCTTACCAAAAAAGAAAAAAAAATGTTTCGATTTGTTGTGTATTTTGACCTTAATTGAACAAGCAACATGTGGTGCTATCTAAGCTTGGGACTTGGATTCATATTTGGTTTTTGGATTGTGTTCCCGCTGGTAAACATGTCATGGAGCATTCTTGCTATAATGTTTGTCTACTAGGTTGTTTTGTACATTGCATAAGTTGATTTTGACTGCCGAATACTAAAAGTTGTGTTTCTACTAATTGGGTTATAATAAAATCCGGATGTGCTTGAATCTTTCATCCGTGTATTTTCGGGGATCTCACCTATTAATGGGGGATTTCTAGCAATGCTTTATTATATCATATATACTAAATATGAGATGCCCTAATTACTGCCGGGTTTTCTAGCAGTCCTTTGATAACGGATATTATTTGCTACAGAGAACAAAGAGGACACTGTAACAGTTGGCATTGGTGGTCCAAACGGTTCTAGTAAAACAAGGCATGTATAGTTTTCGGTAGGCAAAGAGCAGGAATGATAGTGTTTGTTTGTTTGTTTTATTTTTTGAACAATCAATATTATCTGCATTAACGGAAAATGATGGACTTAGTCTCATAATGGGTTATCAATAATGTGGTTTAAATTCGCTTTTGACAAGAATTGAACCTAAGCCCTCTTACTTACCAGTGAAGATGAATACTACTAGACCGTAAATTAAGTGACAATGCTCGTGTTTGTTGCATTCCTAATCTTTACTGGAATCTAAATGTTTACTGAATCTTCCCAGAAAAGGTGGCATATTATGTTTGCACTGTTGTGTCGATGGAGTATTGTGATGAATGAGGATCCTTTCCGGATCCTGTGAGGATCCCGATGATCTTTTAATTGTATCTATTTATCGTGCATCGCGCGGTTAGAAATCATTTAAAAATTTTATTTAAAATTTTACACAAATAAGACCTAACAAAAAATGAATACATGATTCACGATAAATGAATATGATTAAAGAATCCTTTAGATTCTCACAAAGAGAATTCGAAGAGAATCCTCATTCATATGTAATCTACAAATAATGAATAGAAATTTAGGCGGTTCAAAATTTTAGCAAAATGATATGGAGTGGGCTCTCAGAAATCGTGTCAAAAAATTGGCCTTATTAAGGTGAGAGAGAAGAAGGAAGCAAGGAAGCATATGAAACTATTATATTTTTGGAGAGCACATGATGCATGAGTAAGAATTTAATACTCTATCTATTTAAATTATGTGCATAATGCAAAAAGACTTGCGTCATATTAAACGACCTACGTCATATTAAAGGACTTACGTCATATTAGAGGACTTGTGTCATGTTAAAAGACCAACTTCGTATAAAAAGACATTGAATTCAGTTGTCTTTAAAAGAATGGCAATGCAGCTAGCAACTTCAGTTTCTGCCTATTAACTCCCATACTAGCTCTCTGCATGCTGTTCTCTCGCCACCTTGTAAACTGAAGATCTTGTTGTAGCTTTATTTAAGTAATCTTCTTTACTCATCATCAAGGTCATTGAGTACATATATATTTGAGTTATTATGGGTAAAAACGTCGAGGAAAGAAATTCAGATGTGGAGAACCAGGCATAAGAGAAAACAGACAGGTTCGTATTGAATATATCATTCCAGCTCAACAATAGTTAGTTAGACAGTTGAGAATGTGGCTGCGTTGTTATAGTTGTTATCGAATTAGTTAGTTAAATAGCTTATGCTGCAAGCTAGTCATGATGGCTATATAAACTGTATTCTCATTGTTGTAAAAATTAATTAAGTATCAATGTAATCAATCACACTCTCTCTCTTTCTCTCTCTGCATTTCTTCGATACATGCTCTTTCTGCATTTCTGTTAATAGTTCGTACTCTGCTCTCTACTCTCTTTAAGTATTTCGAATTCTGAAATTAGCATGCTCCTGTCTGTCGCTCTCAAAGTATAGCAACACACCACGATCACAATAATGCTTTTTTTACCATCTAATTGTACCATCTTTTTAATAGAAATGAGACCACATGTGTTAGTGGACGCTACTTATATTAGAAAAATAATACAAATGATGGTAAAATTAAATTGTAAGTGTAGCACTGTCCTTATTATTTTTCGTTACATGCAAGGACAGATACTTGTTTTAGCCATCTGAAATGTACCTATATGACAATCTGATTTTTGTTTGATTTTATCTTGTTTAATTTGTTAGCTCGAGGCTCATATTAGGGTTTAGGGTGAATGCTTATGAATTTCTTTTGTTGCGTGTTTCCCAGAAATGAACGTTCGAAACCAATGGCTGGAAATGAGACGAGTGCCCAAAAACCGGAAGATGAAGGAAAAAAATTGGGGGAAAAAAATAAAGGACATTTTTACTGTGCATCAGGCGCCTTACCTTCGAATGTGGAACATCATATTTGTGATATCATGTGTATTTGCTGTCTCTATGGATCCTTTGTTCTTTTATGTTGTAATCATCGATCAGGATAAAAAGTGCATTCAAATGGATAAAACGTTGAAAATTGTTGCTTTTCTTATGCGATCACTCACAGATGTCATTTTCCTGGTGCATTTTATATGTGAAATTTGTGACTGTTCAAAAGACAAAATTGAAAAGAGAGAAGAAACTCATGGACTGGTGTGCTAGAAAATGGACTCTTCGCGCCAGTGGAACAAACCAGGGGAAATTCGAATGAGACAATGGAAACAAAGCCGGGGACTTCCAAAACGAACACCCCCAAAAATGGACCCTCCGCGGCGGGGGAACAAACCGGGGGAAATTCGGGAAAGAAATCGAAAATCAGAGAGTTGATTCAATATAACAAGGAAATAGCTCAGAACTAGAAATTGAAACCCGCGCGTTGCTGCGGGAATAGAAATTATCTATACCAAAATTATATACACATAAAGAAAAGTAGGTATGGGGGCTTCTTTCGCTTAACTACTTAGCTTAATTATGACAGATTTTTTGTGCTGTTGAAGTAATGAGACAAAACACAATAATCAGATCGTACCAAACTTATATATTATGTAACTGCAAGTTTGTCCATTAAGAGGGAAAACACCAAATATACTAATCAACTGCATGCTTGCAGGTTTATATATAAATCCAAAATAAGAATGAAATCAGAAACAGAGCCAGCTTGTCATAGAACATATTACTATTTATAAAAAAACAAAAATCTGAACCAATTAGGTACAAATGAGAAACAGAATGTAAGCAAGTGATTATACGTAATACATGAGGCATGTACAGCTTTCTTGTCCTGAATTCGGTGATGAAAACATAATGCAATTTGGTGGTTCTTGAATGTCCAGATAGAAGCGAAAACGTGTACTCTCATCTCCTAATCATCAAAATATATTTTCACACACCTCAAATCAAGAAGTAATCTTCACAAAAACTAATACAACCCAATCATGTTTTCAATTCCAAATTTTTCCAGGCATTCAAATGAAAGTGGTGGAATGAAGAGTAAAATTAGTACCTTTGCCAGACCCAAAATGGCCATAAAGGTCTGAAAAACCACACGCCAATCATACGAAAATAGAATTGACAAACAAAACCAAACACAATTAAATCCACATTCTAGTTCAACCAAAATTCAACTTCACCCCAAATTAGATCAACCAAAAAAGAAACAGGGATAAACCCAAATGCAATAGGAGAGAGAAAGAGGAGAGAGAGAATGTTTCATTTTCTTTGCAATTTGAACAATTATTAGTTTCAATCAAACTAATCGGACATATATGTCGTTCTCAATAATTGAGGTATTTTTAAACAAATTGGTTCTTAATTATAATAGTTATCAAGGACATATATGTCGTTCTCAATAATTGAGGTATTTTTAAACAAATTGGTTCTTAATTATAATAGTTATCATGGACGCATGGTATTAGTCTTTTACACACAAAAAAAAAAAGCAAGTGCCTCATGCCTTGGGAAATTGTTAAGTACCTATCAAACTAATCATTTGGAAATAATATGGTGCTTCCCAATCTAAAGAGTCAGTGACAATAAAGCAGCATATTAGTGAATAGTTAATTATGATTTCTATAGGGTCCAAAGAAAACTTATCAATGATGATGAATCAATATGAAAGTAGCTCTAGATTAGTATCACAACTGTTTTATTAGTAACACAAACTAACCAAGTGTTCCAATTAAACTTCTACCTCCGTCTCTCAAATGTTGAGTTTGGCATCATAAACGGAGCCTATTAATACTCAATTCTCATTAAAAACAAATCAAACCACCAATATTATCATATAATTAACAATAACAATACCCCCTTAACACAATTGTAAACCGTACATGCCACCAAAAACAACTCAACAGTAGCAACACATGAATACCCCACATTCATACAACCTGATTAACCAAATGTAAAACCTTTTTCTCCCATTTGATATCCAACAACCTAATGCTTATTAAAAAAATCACACTGGCAACATCAAAACCACCAAGAAAGCACGTATAAGCATACCTTGGCAAAGGCAGTAAACGGCACAACAGAAACTGAATAGGCACCTCGAATATCTCTGGGTGCTCCTCATCTTCAATCCTTAAGAGATGAGCATGAACAAAATCACGCAGAGCATGATGTCAGCACAAATTTATCAACAGGAACTTTTTATGTAATGAAACTAATATGACATCATGCAGATTAAAAATGGTGGTTGCATGCCACAGAATTTGAGGTATATATTATGCAGTGGTATGAAACTTAGTATTTCAGGTACATGTCATGCAAGGATCAAGTATGCCATTAACCTTCACATACTGATATATTTATGCAATGGCATATACTATCGTTGACATATACATATATTATTATTAGCTATAGCTATAGCTATAACCGTTGCTATACCATCATGCAAAAAACTTTACCAGAGACAACTTTTGATTAGAATAATAATGTTGGTGTATAAAAATGTTTTGAAATTAAAAACATTAAATGCATCATACTTTAGATTGGTTTGACTAAACATAATTTAATATAGAGTACAGGATGAAGTATGATTATTTGTTCTTTATTGAATATTTTAGTTTTACATTGATATTGAAAGTATTCATACAATAAATTGGCAAGCGGTGCTGATATAAAATTACGAAAACAATTATACATACTGGGCAACTGTGCCTTGAAACTCAGAAATTCAAAATACCTAAGCCAAAAATTCATTAAAAAGCAAGGAATCGATATCCCATTAAGGAAAAACAACAAAGAAAGTAATTGGGTTACCATATTCAAGTGGTCTCATTTTCTTTGAAATAGGGGTACCGCCTGAGCTTGAATTTCAATGCCCTGAAAATTCAGAAAATGACTTGTTTAAATCTGCAGATAGATGCATTCTATATAAGAAAAAAAAGGGAAATATAATGAGGTTCAGAAGCCCAACCATGTTGTTAAAATCCACATGCCAGGTTGCTCAAGGATGACCTCCTAGCCCTTGGAACAGTCTGGGGACTTGGCGACTTAGAAGGGAAGTAAAGGGTTCAAAGAATAAGTAAAACATAACTTGCAGCTGTATAACACTGAAATTATCTATGCTTTTAAGTGAGAGTTAAATTGGTTTCACATTCCGACTCTCCAGTATTTTTGTGCACCATTTTGTAAAGGAGAAATGGCCAATTCACACTGAGAAAATTAAAATAGACACTATGCGTTTGATTGGAGCTATTATGCTGGATCTGTCATATAATAAGAAAGCAAGATCTCTCAAGTTTATAAATATGTAAACCTTAACTTTTGTATTAACTATTGGAAGAGTAGATGAGCCTGTGTGCAATTTGTTAATTTGTTCACCTCGATTGGGGTTTTCCATCTTCTTGCTCCTATACATCTGATGATGAAATCAAAGAAGAAAATGTAGAACAATATTAATCAGAGATGAACCCTTAATTTATATTTAATCAAAGTATTGAATCTTATATATATAGTACAATTAGTAGAGAAAATATATATAGATCATGAAATTGATGGGATCAAATCAATTACTTGAAGATGGCGCTTGACATGAGTTATTCCCAGACCCTTAAAATTCATCAATTGAAGAACCAACTTCGGAGTTGCCCCTGCACCATTAATTCACAATTATTTAGGAAATAAGAACTAACGGGGACTCTAGGCTAATCTCATAAATTAATCCCAAAACCTAGCTTTGATTTATATGTACTACACTTACTTTCTTGTCCACCTAATCTTTCAACTGCATGAACAAAGAAAAGATGGAGATCAGATGTCTACTGAAGTCATGATGTCTTGGAACGAACATAAATCACATAGATACTTCAGAAACCAAAAAAAGAATGCTGCAAAGGGAAATTGGAAAATCATATTGAAAATTCCAAAATCCATGAACACATAAAATTCCAAATCCATAAACACCTTATCATAATTAAAACGAAATTTGCACAGAAAACCCATTAGGATATCCAACTTTATATTTTTAAATTAGTTGGAGCAATTCAATTGATTAACATCCAAACACAGTAAAACAAAAAAAAATGATATAGACAAACACAGAAATATAAAAACGCTTACGTGAGATCTACTAAAAAAAAATTGAAGGAAAAGAAGGGATATGAGGGAAAATAGAGATGAAATAAATACCCAGAGAAAGAGTGGAGGAGATGTTGTCCAACGGAGGAGAAGGAATGAGGGAGGAGCCCGGAGGGGAGATGTTGTCCATTGGAGGAGGAGGAAGGAGATGCTGTTGAAGAGAGGAGGATGTTTCGTGGTTCTAAGAAAGAGGTCGAAAGATTCTCTTGGAAGCAAATGAGACCAAATGGAAGAGCCCGGAAGCAAATGGAAGACTCTGGTTCCATCCTTCTCCCCGTCCACGATGAGCAACACGTGTATAGGAGGGTCAAAATCGTAAATTAACTGTTCAACACAAAAAATAAGCTGAGAATAGGAAGCAGGTGAGGGCTATTTTCGGTAATACACTGCTCGTGAACAGTATTTTTCACCGGGTTTTAGTATATAGATAATATGTCGTGGTTATCCATCATATTTGACGTTTTAGCTCTTCTTCCCCTTCCACAAGTAAGAGAAATGAACTAAACTCCAATTTTTTTCTTGTTTTTGTACGTATCTTGCTGAAATTGATGGACTTCTATGTTCTAACCCTTTATCTTTTAATTTTCTGCAGCTGCTAATAGTATTTTACCCAATGAAACGCTCAGGATTTGTGGAACACCAAAAGGTTGTGAATGTGTTTCTTCTCGGTCAATATGTTCCGAGGATTTATGGGATATGGGCTAAGAGTCTATTCAACTTGTTTCTCTACATTTTTGCCAGCCATGTAAGTTTCACCTTAATTATCGTTCTATTTTAATATTTTTGTATTATAATTATTAATATTGGATTATGGATGTAGTTTTTTTGAAAGTGATATTGTTCAAATATAACTCCTTTGAATTAATCATGTACAATGTTTACAACCTAAATAGGGTTTGAGAAACTCATGTGGTAGGAATCTTAAATTAATTACAATTGACATATATGCTTTTAATCACAGAAAAGATTATGTATTAATTTATTCTATTCTTATAGAGACTAATTATCTAGGGCCTTGTGTTTGCATGTTAGGTACTCGGAGCTTTTTGGTACCATTTTTCTATTCAACGAGATGTATCATGTTGGTACGAGACTTGTGTAAATCCTAGTATAGATCACAGGGGATGTACGGATACTTTCTACTGCGGATGGTCAGAATACTTCTGCAAGAAATATAACACTTCTAAATGAGCATTGCTCGTTGGATACTCCAGATGGTGCTTCATCTTCATATAACTTTGGAATATTTCTTGATTCTCTTAAGAATCAAAACGCGGAGCATAAAAAGTTTATAACGAAGTTCCATTTCAAATTGTATAAGATACGTAAGTTCTTCGGTGAAACATACCTTTCTGGTATGTAGCTAGCTAGAACATAGGAGATCACGGATCGAGCTTATTAATGAATTCTACTTGTGGTGAGGCAGACTTTAATACAGATGGAGGCTACAAAATCGGAAGAGACAAGACGAAAGATTCGGATAAAGAAGGTAGATGTACGCACGTGGATATCCATAAATAAATGGGAGTTTTAACAAAACACTCCTCGTACTGTTCACTTTTAATGAAAAACCACATTTTTATCTTTAACTGACACTATTCACTATACCTTTAAAAAAGGCTTTTCGTTAAAAAAGAAATTTTTTTGAACTTTTCATTAGTTTCCCTTAAATAAATTCTCTGATAATATCAAGGAAGAAATCGAGAATAACATGGAGCAAGCATGGAAAAAAGACAAATTTGCTGATGTCCACAACCCATTCCTGCTTATTCTTCCCAGGAAAACCAAACTCTGTAAAACGCCATCTTTTCATGGATACACTTAGAACAGTATGTTCTTCAAGAATCGATCTCTCTCCATTTACTAATAAAAAGAATTTGAAAACTTTGAAATTTAATGATAAGGATAAAATAAAATATAAAATAAATAGTACCAAAATTGACTTTTTAGTGTAAAAATATGATTTTTCGTTAAAGTAAACAATACTAAAAGCTTTTCGTTAAAGTTTCCTTTATTAATTGCATCCATTTTCACTGTAATGTTGTTCTGATGATATAAGTCTCTGCGTGCGCGCATGTGTACAGGTTAAAAAGCTTAAAGACATGGATCAATGTGTTGACGTTGCTGTGCGACCATCTGAAGCCAGTGACGTTCAATGAGAACAGCTTTGTTTTTCGAACGGGAGATCCACTCGATTGCATGGTGTTCATTGTCGAAGGGACAATGTGGACCTACGCGGCGAGTGATAGTCAAGTTGGGCAAGGAATCTCATCAACGGCCATCAAGCGCCTCGGGAAATGTCACTTTTACGGGGAAGAGCTTCGGGCATCACACTGTTTCACCGAACTTCCAGTCTCCATCAAACATGTCAAAAGTCTGACAAAAGTAGAAGCATTTGTGCTCATGGCCAAGGACTTGGAAGCTTTAATCTCCAGATGCCCACTACAGTGGGAGAACGGCGAGAAGAAGGGTTCTCAAAAGGTGAAGGGCATGGCAGCTTCTACCAGAGCAACAGCATTCCGTCGTCGTAGAGAGCAATCTAAACCTTATATGTAGAGTGCTTGATGTTTGATATATTTTGAGATCAATAAGAAGGCCTTGGTACCAGTGGTTTATTGTGGTTTATAAACTTAGGCGGGCTTCTACTTCACACGATGAAATAGTGTTTATTGCCGAACCCCATGTTATGGTCAGATTTTTCAATGTGACCGGTACATGAAATGATTGATGTTAGATATGTTTTGAGATCAATAAGAAGACCTTAGCACCAGTGGTTTATTGTGGTTTATAAACTTAGGCGGCTTCTACTTCACACGATGAAATAGTCTTTAAAGCCAAACCCCATGTTATAGAGAAATTTTTCAGTGTGATTAATACACATGACGGTACATCATGTGTCACTATAAAAATAGTAGGATATATGTGCTAAAATGTTAATAACTTAAAAAATAAAATTTCTCATCACTCCTATTAAAACACGTGGTGTACCATTCATGTACCCGTCACAACTAAAAATTTCTCCATGTTACGCGTGAATTCAAAGAATTTTGAATTTTTGAATTTTTGAATTTTTGATTGGCCGAATTTACAATTGACAGCAATGTGATGATGAGGTTTAATTAATCTATAATTAAACAATATGGTAGTTCACCATTTCTATGCCGACACGGTAGTCCACTGTTCAAAGCCGTTCTTATGTTTTTAGTGGCCTAAAGGCCAGAAAGTAAAATGGAGCCCTTTCCGACACAATATTTAGAAAAGAAAAAAAATGTATTTTTCTATATAACTCTTTTATGGGCTTAAAACCAATTGTTTGATTAAAATAAATATATAAGAATCTTCTTCTAGTGTTTCTAGAGTCAAAATCATCAAGAGCACATTTTTCGAAATCAAGCATTTACAACATATCTTTCTCAATGGACAATATTGACAATCCAACCTTTCATGTGTCATAATCGTCGACCTAAAATAATTTTTCACCAACTTCAATCGAATTACCTCTTTCTTAGTTTCTTACTAGAAAAAGTGTCCGCACTGCGGGTGTTAAAAATATTTTGGAAATATATCTATACATAAAACAGAGGTTTCTTATCTTTTGTGTTTTAAGTTCTGAATCAAGATCACTAATTCTAAACTACAATTCGAAAAACTATTTTCAGACTGTTGGACATCAAGAAGAACACTAATTCTGAAATACCAATTCAATTTCTCTCCATGTTAAAAAGCATGTAAGCAGAGTCAAAGGACATAGTTTCTATTACCGGAACAAAAAATTGAAACCATATACGTTGAGAAACATGCAAAACCCACCTGGAAACGCCGGATTAGATCGGTCTCAACCAAGTTCAATTTGAATCCAAAATAGGCACAAAATTTCTGAAATAAAAAACCAAAGCACATGAGATACTAACAAAAGCCATACAAAAAATGGAAAATCAAAACCTTGTGCGGCAACAAACATGCAAAACTTACTTCGAAAACCCAAATCAAACCAACCAAAAACCCAAAAATATTATCGGAATCAAACCAAAAAAGTAGAGAAATTAACAACCCTGACTACTAATCGAAGAACAACATATGCAAGCCATAATCAACCATTACACATATTTGGACAACAATTTAGGAAATCAGTACATCACAAAGAGAAAACAATCTCACACTTGCAATAATGAGACTTCTTATTAGTATAGCTAAATTACAAAAGCACTCAGCAAGTTATGCCGTGAACAACAGAGGATTGAATACATCTACTCAGATCATGTCTAGAACTCAAGGACTCTAGTAGTGGAAGATCTTCGATCTAACATTTCATCTTTGTGATACGCAAAAGAAAACATACAATATAGCATGAAGACCAACAACAACAACAACAACAACAAAGCCTTTTCCCACTAAGTGGGATCGGCTATATGAATCCTAGAACGCCATTGCGCTCGGTTTTGTGTCATGTCCTCCGTTAGATCCAAGTACTCTAAGTCTTTTCTTAGAGTCTCTTCCAAAGTTTTCCTAGGTCTTCCTCTACCCCTTCGGCCCTGAACCTCTGTCCCGTAGTCACATCTTCGAACCGGAGCGTCATTCGGCCTTCTTTGCACATGTCCAAATCACCGGAGCCGATTTTCTCTCATCTTTCCTACAATTTCGGCTACTCCTACTTTACCTCGGATATCCTCATTCCCAATCTTATCCTTTCTCGTGTGCCCACACATCCCACGAAGCATCCTCATCTCCGCTACACCCATTTTGTGTACGTGTTGATGCTTCACCGCCCAACATTCTGTGTCATACAACATCGCTGGCCTTATTGCCGTCCTATAAAATTTTCCCTTGAGCTTCAGTGGCCTACGACGGTCACACAACACGCCGGATGCATTCTTACACTTCATCCATCCAGCTCGTATTCTATGGTTGAGATCTCCATCTAATTCTCCGTTCTCTTGCAAGATAGATCCTAGGTAGCGAAAACGGTCGCTTTTTGTGATCTTCGCTAGATTGCTTCGGTCATTAGCGTGGATAAGTATATAAATGGATAGAGATAGGAAAGCAAACACAAGATGTACGTGGTTCACCCAGATTGGCTACGTCCACGGAATAGAAGAGTTCTCATTAATTGTGAAGGGTTTACACAAGTACATAGGTTCAAGCTCTCCTTTAGTGAGTACAAGTGAATGATTTAGTACAAATGACATTAGGAAATATTGTGGGAGAATGATCTCGTAATCACGAAACTTCTAAGTATCGGAGTGTG